GAAGAATCAAGTTGTTGAGATAGTTGTTGTTGTTGTAACGTAACATATAGTATGATATCTAAGAAACCAGAATACTCATGACTGTAGAACATGCTACACACATCTTCATCATCTCAAATCTTTAATGAGAAAAATTTGCATTCACTGTGCCCGCCAAAGAACACTGGATTTTTGTATATTATTCGGCCAACTGGACCACATTGCAGTCTTTTTTCTAATCTTGACTTCAAGTGTAAAAAATTTGACCTTCTGTCAATCAAAAATCTCGTAACATCAGTATTTCTGAAATTGTAACCGGCTATGTTACATTCAAAAACCTCACCGTTTAGATGTGCATTAATCATGTATTGTGGTGTTTGAGACATAGTTAATGTTTTAGTAAAATTGTGTTTGGAAGAATTGTTTTACTAATTGATATGATAATAATTCAAATCTCTCTACTGTATTAATAGTAATAAAGTGAGTTGCATGACAAGACAACACTCTGCGTGCCTACAAAGTGAGCTGCATGACAAGACAACACTCTGCGTGCCTACAAAGTGAGCTGCATGACAAGACGTCTACACTCTGATTCTATGCAGACCTACGAGATTCCCTGCATGCCTAACGTCTACACACTGATTCTATGCAGGCCTAACGAGATTCTTACTAATAAATGTATACACATGGCTACAATAACCGTCTGCACTCTGCATGCATGACAACACCACAACATGTATTTCCAAGACAAGACTAAACCGAGTTCAAAATGTTTTCTTATTTGTTATATTTTATCTAATGTAACTCTAGTTCATCATATTGGGAAAAAAATTATATTATAACAAAATTTTATTTTCTTAATTTATTAAATAATTAATGTATTTAATTTATATATAAATTAGATGCATTAATTGTTCAATAAATTAATGTATTTAATTTATAGTGTAAAACAGAAGGATTATATGTTCAGAGGATTCTCTTTTGTATATAAATGAGCCTAGATATATGACAACACGATGCATGCATGACAACACCACATCATGCACTTCCAAAACAAGACTAAACCTGCACGTCTCCCTTCATCCATGTCACATGCATGCATGACAACACTCTGCATGCATGACAACACCACATCATGCACTTCCAAGACAAGACTAAACCTGCACGCTTCACATGCTTTCTTGACACTTGCTCTGCATACACAACAACACCACAACATGCACTTCCAAGACAAGACTAAACCTGCACGCCTCACATGCATGCTTAACACTTGCTCTACATGCATTTCCAGGTCACATGCATGCTTGACACTTGCTCTGCATGCATACTACTCTCATAGCATTCGAGGATTATAAATAGAGGTCCATCCACTTTCAAACTCTTCTCATCCCAGCAAACTCTTCTCAGCCTCATCCCAACAAACTCTTTTCATCCCAGAAAACTCTTCTCATCCCAGCAAACACTTCTCATCCTCATACGTTCTACAAATTCTTCACCCAACAAATTCTTAACCCACAATGGGCAACTCTCACAGAGGCACAGTTGAGAACATCGCAGAGTTTGTAAGTATTTTTCTTTTTGTTGTCTATGTTTACGAAGTTTAATTCTCCTTAAAAACTAATGGCATTTAAATTCTTTTGCAGGATGCATCAAGGTTTCACTGTCGTGTGCATGACTACATACCACACGATCCTTTAATAGAGGGATACCTTGAAGCATGTGGGTTTGGTGATTTGATTAAAATCAAAACATACTCACTGGATCCAAGTTTATTCTAGCGTTTTTAGAACGCTGGAGACCAGAGACGCACACATTTCACCTACCTTTCGGTGAGTGTACTGTAATTCTACAGGATGTTTACATGTTGCTTGGCCTACACATCAACGGTAAGGCCGTCAATGGTAAAGTTGGTGTTAACGACCAACTTTGCGAATATTTACTGGGCCCCTCTCTTTGTGTGGACACAACTCAACCAGAACATGAGGGTCGACCAAGGGGGCAAGGTATTAATCTGAAATACCTCAGATAACTCTAGAATATTATTGTTTTAACTGAGGAGTCCACCGAGTATGAGAAAATACTCAAAACTCGGTGCTATATTATGATATTATTTGGCCATTTTTTATTTCCAGACAGTACTGGAAATACTGTAAATGTTATGTATTTACCGTTGTTGCATAACATAAACAAAGTGTGCAAATATAGTTAGGGATCAACTCTCCTCGCCCATCTATATAGTGCACTATGTAAACATGCAAAAGAAAATTCTTGTACTTTTTATGGCTGCACCTATCTCCTCCAAGCGTGGGGTTGGTCTAGGATGCCAACACTTGCTTCAATAAACCGCAACCCATTTACATTCCCATATGCTAACAAGTAAGTTTATTTTCAAGACGAATTTACAACCAAAGTTTCTTTGTAACTTAATTATTTGTACGATGTGTCTTAGTGTCTAATTTATTTGTGTTTCTTTTTTTTAGGTGGTCTGTTCCGGGGATGAATTACCAAAGATGTCCCAGGAACTCCATAGTCGTGTACCGCAACATAATCGAACACATTGGGCCAAATGATGTAATTTATCTACCTTTACTTTGTCTAATTAATAAACACAAACTTGTATTTCTCATTGCGTATATTGTTATTGTAGTTTGGCTGGATGTCGTACGAGGGTCTCGACCACCAGCCCAACGCCGATGATGTTGTCGTGTGGACATCCAAAACACCCATCATTAGGTTCACTACAATGGAGATGCACCAAAGTGATTGGGTCAAACTACAGTTTAGGATGCATCGGGATATTCCAGATGCTCCGACGTCATTGGGACACTGGCATCAGCTACGGGTGGATTCACAATGGCGTGTTGGTCATTGGAAGGACTTTGTAAAAGAGATGTGTCAGCATTGGAAGAACCGACATCAACACATCTTAACCGACCCTATTGTGGAAGGGGCTAAGCCAAGTTATCAATATATGATTTGGTTTAGGTTGGTTACAACATCACAACCATTTATGTCTGAGCCGACATATTTGATTGACCCGAGACAACGTGCGTCTTCCTCGACTCCACATCAACAACCAAATTCTCAACATCAACAACAACAGCCTTACCATAACCCATACATGCCACCAAATGTCCAACATCAACAACAACAGTCTTACCATAACCCATACATGCCACCAACCCAATCACAACAACAACAGCCTTACCCATATAGTCTTGTTACATGTTTTGACCCTACCCCCTCCACCTATCCACTTTTTGACTACCAAACCCCACAACAACCAATACATCATTTCCAAACCGATTCGATGTACCAATTTGGACAACCATACCGTCCATATTCCATCCAACCTCCCCGACAATCCTATGAACACATGGGCATTGGGCTTAATTACGGAAGCGCCGTTGATAGTGGCCCTCCCGGCTATTGGGGTCAAATGCTTCAAAATTTATCTGATATGTCGGGGTCATCCGAACAAATACCTCTTCCACAAGTCAACACCCAAAGACCAGACACACCTCAACAACCTCGTGGTAGACCTCGTCGCCGCGCGCATCTTCCACAATGTGGTACCGGTGGTCGTTTAGATAGAGCCGACCATTAATTTTTTTTTAATCAATTGTAATTTATATTCCTATTATAAATTAATATATTTTACTATTTACTTTTTAGATTATTTATATTCTATTTATTTTTTTTAGATTATTTAAATTTCAAATATTATTTTAATTATGTTATAAAACTAAAATTAGGAAAAACAAAAAATAAAACCTATAAAAACAAAAAAAACAAAAATAGAAAAGAAAATTAGAAATCCTAACGAAAAAAACACAGAGAATTGATTCGCCATATTATTTGGCGAATCCTTTAAAAAAAAATTGATGTTTTGCACTAATTTATCAATCTATTTGGCGAATCCACTATTACTAGCATAGTTTTACCAACCTATTTGACGACTGCAATTTAAAAATTATTTTGAAAACTTATTTTATTTGATATTTTTGTTGAAAACATTTTGGTTAGTTTAAAAAAAAAATCCCAAAACCATGTTATTCTAAATAACAGTAGAAAGAATCGTCCATCTTAATTTCACCCCTTACTCATTATAGACATCTTTTACCATATACCCATCATTTTTAATTTGATTCCATAACCACTTGTCTACCACATTAACTTGCAAAGAGATATTAGCTAACAAAGTCCTACACTCTACCCCTAGGTTATTTTCTCCTCTCATTCTCATCCACCTCCCAACCCATGTTTATCATATCAGCCATTGACACTCATTTTTCAACCACTAAGCCATACAACTTACTAACCTACTCAAATATAATGCCTCATTTAACCACCGGTCATACCAAAATAAGTATGTCAACAACCTAACTAGTTTTCTAGAAAATAAATTAATAGGCACAAACCCTATTGCACGTTTGACCTCATATAATAGGAACTAAGAGAGAAGTTGTAGTCATCCAACATGACCTCATCCAAATAGTTTCATTCCACCTAATCATATATTATTTTCAAACTATACCTTAAGCATTATTAGATTCCTCTTTTCCTTATTCACAATACTTATTGTTTTCTACTTAACCATTGATGATTTTCAGGGCCAGATTCTCTTCCATATTTGGGTTCAAATGTAGACTACTTGTTTCTTTTCTATTAGATCCTTTAGTTTCTTATTCAATTATAAGTGTCCCTAAACCTTTATTTTTGTAATATTCTACTCTTATCCTTTTGTTTTATTCATCTATATCTTTTGACATATTCAAGAAGACCATAACTTAAGGAGATTTTTTGCCTCTTTGTGAAACAAATAACTAAAATTCAGGAAACTCCGTGACTCTATAGTTCATTTCATATATATAACCTTTGTGTCCCCAATATATAATCTTGTATATAGTTATTGACTGATTCTGAATTCTAGGGATGCTCCAAATATATTATTCAACTACATCAAGAACTCGTGTGGTTATATAATAAAGACATATTGCGAAATCTTGTATCATCTGAGAATGTCGATGATATTTCCACCTGATGAGGATGGTCCATACATTGAGATAGAGCTTGATCATGCTGGTGACAGCAAGAATAGTTGTATGCATGATAAGGTAGAAGTAGAACACGGGGAAGAGTGCGAGTTGCGCATTTCGATTTCGTCAACCATTTCTGTTTCCCTTCAAAAAGAGAGTAAAAGTGTTGATAGTGCTGCTGAAGTTGGGCTTGGACCTTCAATGATCAGGAAACAACCAAGCTTGACAACACCAACATCATCGAACGGGATCATGGTGAAACTAATGATTAAGTTTCGACGAATAAAAATCAGATCATTCATTGCATCACTCATGAAACCAGCACAAAACTTCCAAACCGGCTCAAGCAAAAAGTCTATAACCTTTTTTCAGTGTTATGAGGAGGATAGCATAAGTGCCTCTTTGAGGAAGAGTAGAAGACGCATGGATATGGATTTGGGAGCATTTAAAGGTGTATTCAATGCTATAGGAATGAGCAGAAGAAGATCGAAAAGAAGATCGGATGCTTCAACTTCATGTAACAGCACACCAACTCATGAAGGATTTTCAAAAGATAATTCTATTCAAGGAGCTATTGCCTATTGTAAGAGTTCATTTGGTCAAACATCTGATTTCACTTTCTCAAGTTCTATTACTTCTACTCCTACTAGGTTTGTAGGATATCATGATTGATAGAGAGGATCATAATGTGTATTCCTTCTTCATCTTGTTTCTATCATACTAAGAAAAACTCTGATGCTGAATGTGTAAAAACAAATTCATTCATTAGAAAAACTCAAAGAAACGAATTACTAAATAGTTGCAAGTAATAATAAAATGATAAGAATTATTGAGGATCTAATCCAAACACTGCACAAAATATTATTGAATTGTATTTTTTTAAACTAGTTGAACAAAAGATTTCGTTTGATGATTTATAATGGTAATAAAAATGTTTAAACTAAGGCAATTGGGTTGGAAATTCCAAGAATAAAGATGTAGTTGATTTGAGTTCCTTAATATTGGCATTAAGCTTACTGTTATATATATAGTTTTAAGTTAATCTTTAAAGTCTATAGTGAATTTTGAATAATATTGTTTTGTTGTGGAATTAGAATTGGTTTTGATTGGGGACGTGAGACTCTAGAATTGACGGTGTTGATTTTTAGTACAGAAGTGTGGTGTGGGCCTGCAAGGACGCCTAAGTAGTTCAGAGTTCAAGAGTTTAAATTAAATATAGTGAAAATTAGAGATCAGAAAAGTGTATTTTGAACCTCACGTATAGTGACTTTATACGTTGAAAAATTTTGATCGGATCTTCCCCTTATTGGATTCTTGCATTGGGCCTTTTGCTGGTGTTTACCGTTATTTTTTATAAATCAAGTCACAAGTTTTCGTTCACTTACAGAATTAAACTCGAAAAAATCCTAGAACATATTTGTGCAAAAGATTTGAGAAAACATGTTTGTATTTTGAATACTGATGTTTGATTGTCGAAAATTTAGATATAACTCTAACTGAAATAATGCAAAACTGTTACTTTTAATAAGGAATAAACAAAAAAACACAAAGGAGCATTCAAGTAAATGCTTTGAATTTAAAAACTAAAAGAAAGGAAGCAGATTCGTACATATTCTCATAAACTATTTTCTCTCTGTGACTTCAATACTTAAGTTCTATAGAGAATACTTAATAAATTCGGTTACCCCTGTTTACATGACTAAACTTATCTTATATACTATTACAATTTTAACTGTCGATAATGGTTATCTTCGCAGGATTCGACACATATTCCTATACGTGGGCTTTAGCCTTCTAGTATGCTTTCATGTGTCTTTGATGTTTTGAACCATTTTGAATTGTTCTTGTTGTTTCAAACCCTCTTTTAAATCTCCTAACTGTTTTTATCGAAGGTTTCTTCCGTCGAACCTTGCAGCATAATATCGAAAGACTAGCTACTTGCACTTAGCACGGGAACTTATCTTCTTTCTATTTCTAGCAAATATGTCAAATCATCATAAATCTTTTTGAGATTCTGAACATGTTTTGAAGAGAAAGTGATCCTAATCTTGTGGATATGTTTTAGGACTCTTCCAAACCATGTGTGGAAGGATTCTAGGTTATCTAACCTTGAACTCAAAAACAGACTAGGTCTCAAAACATCTAATAAGCGAGTCAAACTCACCTTTCAATCGAGGTTATCAATATGTCGAAACCATAACTAGGTTATTTTATACTTAGCAATCTCATAGAAATACTAAACCATTATTCTCAGGCTAACAGATTCCCCATAAAAAATTTCACTTTTGATCATATGCACAAGATGGAAGAAAGGTGGTATTTTTAGTAATTGCTCGACAATGTTCAAAGGGGTGTGCATACGTCATAGTCATCATGACCACTTTACCAAACTGTCACATCACTGAACGTGTGCGCATTCAATCATCATCACTCTTATTTCCAAGGACATTGGGGGCCACAAGATTAAATCACAATAAATAAATCATTTAATTTATTTTTAAATCAGAAAAATCAAGCGTCGTTTGTCCAAATTCGAGAAAGACTCTAAAACGTCTTCCTCCCCTATATACAACTTCACTCCCTCATTTTTGTTTTTTTACAACTTCTTCTTTAGAATCCTAAAAGTCTTCAAATCTTTCATACTTCTATTCTCGTACCTTCGTCAAACTTCAAAAACCATGGCCTCCTCTTTTGCTACAACACAACAACTTCCAATCCCGCTTGCCTATGAAGTTACCGCTTATACTTTTCTTGATAATTGTACTTAATTCTATGAACCACTAATGGAAGAAGAAAAATCCATGATTCAGGCTTCTTAGATATTTATTCCCTTCTCTATATCAGGTATTGTTTACGCATTCTTGGGTCAATTTCCTACATCTTCTAAAAAACCTAAAAAACTAAAGAAGTTGTTATCTTGTCATCATCGTTGCAAACTCCGAGCGTTTGAAGATAATGTATTTGAGTTAGGGTTGATTAGTTCACCCCAACGAGTCTTTCATTCCTTTCCTACTATTAAAAATGAGAATTACACCAATTGGTTAGATAAAGTGGAGAAGAAAAAGGAACAATTCTAGAAGGGTCAAAGAATCTATGATATGATTCAATTGGCTAGAGTTGACCCCAAATACAACGCCAAAATGCTTATTTCATCCCTTTACTATTAGGAAGGTTCGAATAACACTTTTCACCTTTGTTGTGGGAAGATAACTCATACTCTCTTCATCGTAGTTGTCATTATTAGCCTTCGACCCACCGGGGAAACCTTCGAACCTACCCTCATGACTAGAACCAAACCAAACTTCTTTTATACCCATCCAAACTATAGTAACTTCATAGAAGATCACTATGAGGACCATCATAAGAAAGCCCATGACCAAGAGCTATTGTTGTACCCTAAATTTTATCTATAAGTTTTTCTTAAATTTGTTATTTTTAGTCCCTTATGTCATCTCTCATTTTAAGTCAATAAAATGTTAGAAACGTGCCTAAAAGCTAGGGCTTAATTTATATCTATTTCATTACATAACCATGCATCCACTATTCGTTCATTTCATACATACATATGCATATTATGCAATACAATAAAAATCAAGAAAAGTCAACGAATGTTGCTTTGAGCTAAAAGACAAGTTGTCTCAAATGATGATCCAACTTATCCTATCCATCATACATATAAATTTGATGCATCATTACCATATCATATTACCAAAATCAAATAAAAAAATAAAATTACACAAAATACAAATATCAAATAGTCATTTCATTCATTCTATGATCATACATACATCATATGTATCATTACATTACAAAGGTCAAAAATAAAGTCAACATAAAAAAGTAAAAATTTCACAAAAAGACAACTCAAATTCTCATTCCATTTCATCATGTCCACACATCATTCCCATACATGGGTTGTTACAAAAAAAGGAGTCACACGAATCACAAAAATAATCCCACAATTCATGCTCACAATCCTCACACTCAAGTCACACAATTCCTCACTCAAATCCTAACAAAACAATCACATGATTCAGCACTGGAATTCACACAATTCACTCACCAATTCATTCACTTTTCACACTCTTACACACTCACATTTAACCTAATTCTACCTTATAAATTCTAAGAGGTTCTACACTAATGAGCAGCCCCCAGTTCCAAAAAATTCAGAATCAACGTCTCTAGTACGACTTATGGACTTTGAATGTTCTTCATTTGTTTTTGATTTTTTTATTTTGATGTTCTTAGGTAGTTAATGTTTGACTGTTCTTTGATAGAAGAATCGAGCAGTGATTATGTTTTGTTTATTGTGTTTCTGGGTTAATGTTCATCATGGTTTATGAACATGTTGAAGGTGATGAGCGAACGAAGGAGAGAATACAAGGGAGGAGAGAGAAACAAGTGTCGCAAATGAGGGAGATCCATCATATCCCCTATTTTGTTCATTTCTTTGTATTTTGCCATGATGGTCACGTGGCCAGATCAGGATCATTCATTTTGATCCAAAGAGACTCTCCTACATAGGATCCCCCATGATAGTGCTTAGATCCTGGCCATTGCCTCCTGCTGAGAAGGCTTGGACGTTGCCCCTTTGATTGATTTGGCAGTTTTGATCAGGGTCGTCTGATCTCCATAAGACGGTCACGCGTGCCCTAATTGTTTGTATTATTTTTATTTTTTTTTATTTTAATGATGGGCTCCTGGATTTTGGATGTGTTCCATTTTTACACCATCCTTTTAATTTTCCGCCCATGCGTTTTGTTTGGGTCTTCCATATAAAGGCCTCTTGCTATTTACTTGGTGATGCCCCCCGACCCATGTATGCACCCCCTCATTCATATATGTTTATTTATTCATTTATTTTTTTTATTTGAGTTTTACTAATTCGATTAGTATTTAATTAATTTGACTAATTAATAAATGCTATAAAAATAAGTGAATAGAGTCAATGTTATATTTAAAATCAAACATATTTCTCAAACTCAATAAAATTCATTTTCATCATAAAATCATACTTACATCAAATTACTTTTCATATTTAAACCAAAATCTTTTTCATAATTGAATCGGATGAAAAAGGATTAGTTGGACGTAATATCCATCATTTTCTTCGAGTATTTGGATACCTGCCGTATAACTCGCTATTTGAATACTCGTCATCCTCTCAAAACGTAGTAACGCAATCAAATTCAATTCGTTCCTTATCTGATGAAAAAGGATTAGATGGACGTAATATCCATCCCTTTCCCTGAGTATTCAGATAGCTTCATTATAGCTTGCCTTTCGAGTACTCATCATCTTCGAGGGACTTTGATTTGATTATTATTAAATATTTTTTTATAATTAATTCAGATGAAAAAATATTAGTTAGACGTAATATCTATCCTTTACCCCGAGTATTTGGATACTTGTTGTATAGCTCGCATTTCTAATACTCGTCTTCCACCCAAAAATAAACTCAACTAATCAAACTTATTTTTGCCCGAGTGCAATAAAAAATCAAATCTTTTCACAAATGAATGATGTTTTATCTATTTTGATGTGATACACAAACAAATACTTCAGCCTCCCATGTGCGGGCAACAAGCAATGTTTAACCACTCGAATGCGACCTAAATCACTAAAATCAACTAACAAACAAAGATTTTCTACAAAGAACTATGTAGCTT